TGATTTCATTGATGACATTCAAACCAATTCACCAACAAATTGTTTGGTTTTTATTTCATTATTTGTAGTTTTTGAAAATTATACCAAATAAAGATTTGACTGTTAAATGAAACGAAAAGCTTGAAATATTTTTAAGTTTGACGATGAGCTACCTATTAAACAGCTTTAAGTAAAAGTGAAGGCTGTTAATGTTTAACAAAAAAACATTTTATCTGGTTTTGGTTCTGCAGATTTAAAGGTATTTTTTTAAAGATTCTTTATAATTTCCGAGTATTTTTTATTTTACAATGAATTTATTGTGTACTATACTATGACTTTTTTCAACACCCCATACTATACTATAATATAACTTTTTCAGACATTCAATGCGAAGACTGACTTTTTAATGAATCATACAATACATTTTTCATGACTTTTCAACATGAATTTTTTACTTTTTTCAAAATACCATACTATGATAGTTTAGAATACTCATGTCTATAAAAAGTTCGAAAAACTAATATGGTATGTTGAAAAAAGTAAAAAAAAGTCATTGTATAGTTTGTCAAAAATGTCATATATAATAATAAATAAAGTCTGTAAACACTATAATGAACCAATGAATTCACTGTTAGTCGAGCACATGATTGAGTCTTCACAAACGGCTTAAATATCCTGAGGAATTGTTAAGATATATTGTTCATCGATGTCACTACTACTGGCCTGCATTTGATATTTCTCAGAGTAATGGCATCTACATGCTGAACACATTTGAATATGCATATAAAGAGGAGAGATGTGGTAACCTTTACTTATCATTTTATTAACAGCACTGTGCAGACTTCCAAAGTGATATGAGCTTTAAAAAACATCAAAAAGTGAATGAATGACTCGCAATGATGAGACGCGACACCACATGGAACAGCAGCTCTCTCTTCTGGCAGAAAGCTGAAGTACCCCAAACACAGGGACCGAGGGCAACGGGCTGGTACGCATCGAGCATCTCTGAGGCCGAGTGCTGATCTGGGACCTGGTTTATCTTTCAGGTAAGAAAGTAAAGGGGGACCTTTCTCCCAGATCAACAACTGTGCTCCAAGAGGAGGCTTGACGCGACAGATTAATACAAGCAATCTAGCCTTCTGAGATCACCAGGTACAGAACAACACTCTACTCCTTACTCTACACGTGGTGAGGATCTCCTAACATATGGCACTGCTCACAGAATTATACAAAACCTTTGGAAAAAAAAAAATACTTTTACAGGAATGCAAAATGAAATAAAAGACATTTTTTTCTTTTCATATTACCGACTTTGCACAATTAGATTTTTCTTTAGAATGACAGTATCAAAGCACAAATTGGTATATTGTGAGAAATCCCCCAAAAAAGAATACCAACAATGACATGCTGTCCTCAAAGCATAAACAAAACATTGGTATTGAGGATTGGGGACCTCCCCGTCCATTACCCATCATTCAAGAAGTTTCTCAAGGCAAGTAGGAACAGGGGACAGAACGGACTAGAGGATGGCCAGAGATAGCTTCCAGTCAACAGAGAGCATTACCCAGAATAAGCACGTGCTGATTGGCTATTGACATGACTTAAACCCTCCCCCAAAAAACATTCTTCTTCATATGCTGGGAGAGGTTCAAGTCAATGTACGTCCAAGTTCCTTATTCATTCATAGTACCTGGAAATCAAGCTGCTGTTTTAGTCCAACCGACATTGGAAATAAAAGGAACAATGTGCAAGTTATAAAGTTATGTGATAAAAAGAAATCGGCTACTTGTGTGACTTCATTAAGCAGATACTTTCAGCTACATGTCAGCTGGAGGAAGAGTCGGCAGGTGAGCTGCTGTTCATGCCAGCGAGTCTCCTCTGGTGAACTTGTTCAGATGAACATTATACCTGAGTTAGCTCTTACAGTTGGCCCAAATACTGATTTTAATGGAGACTTGGGGGTGGGCCAGTGAACCCATGAGCCTACTCTTTTTTTCAAAAGCCTCTGCAGTCACTTCCAGTCAGTGGCGGTGAACCGCCGCAGAGAAAGGAGACTAATGAGAGCGAGAGAAGCCTGAATCTCCTACAAAATGTCTGGTTTCCATAGCATCTAGTTTGCTATATTTAACAGTCTACCTGTAGAGAATCACAGAGAATATATATATTTAAAAAAAAAAAAGAGTTTTAAAGACTGAAGAGTCGACAGCTTGAGAGGGCTGCAGGCTCCCACGTCGTTAGTACTTTCAAGTATGCTACATCACGGACCAGAGACATGCAGATGATACCGTCACTCTAAAGAAACAGGGCGACTGGTAAACACAGTATTCACAAATGTACATTTAAGGCTTAATTGTTTTGCACTAACAATAGTAGCAGCAGTGAAGCACTTCTGAATGAATTATAACAACAATATTTATGATCATATTACGATAAAATATTACCTAAGTAAATCAATGTCATCTTTTTTGTTGTTTCATAACACTGGACTGAGCTGGAGACAGAATTGTAATCAGCCAGCCAATGACGTGAGACAAAGACACAACGAAAACATTTCAGCCACCACGGGTCACACAACACTAGTCTGGTACTGCAGGGTCGTCAACGTTAGCACGTCCTCTAATAATCTCGCTGCCGTACAGAGAAGCAGTACGTTTACAGAGCACGGGTCGGAGTATACGGACTGTAATTCCACATTCATGTTGTACAGGAACAGGGGGGTTCATTTAAGAGAGAGGGTCGTGAGGAGTAGGTCTGGCAGACACGCACACGCATGCATACTCACGTACACACAAACTCACACGTATAAACACACGCTGCCAGACAACAGCCCAGACCTGAAACCATCGCCATGCTACTTTGAAAAATACAACACGACAAAACAAGCATGTTTTTCTAAAAAAAAAAGAAAAAAGTACCAAAGCAACGTTGTTAATCAAAGGCCATAACAGACTGACTTCATAATGAAAAAAGCTCTGCTGCACATCTTCTAAACTGACGCGTCGCGGTGAGGAAGACATCCTGACTCTTCCTCACGTGTATTTCATCCCTCAGTCTGAGAAAATGGTCCCCGCCTACCGATATCACTTGTACCAACAGCGACCCTCAAAGCTGAAGTCATTTTTACATACTGTATATATTACACACATTTAATATATATTTACTCATATATTAAATTTTCATATAGACATACATTTTTAGTTTTTTTGTGAGGTGTTGGTTACATTTTCAGGGGAATAACGATCCGTCTTCCCGGGATTCCTACGAAAGTCCGTCACCATTTGGCGTCCGCTCGTTGTTCCACGCATGCTCGGTACCTGCCGCAGAGATGACGAAGACGAAGAGGCCTGCTATAGCAGTTTAAAGAAGGCCGGACACTGTTGAAAGCGCATGGAGTGCAGGGGCGCAAAGTCCCAGAGACACTGGTGTAACGAGCCAGTTCAAAATCCCCAGGGATGTAGGGGCGTCAAGCCAGCACCGGAGGTAGTACTGCAGGCAACGGGCTTTGGGCCGGGCCGTGCCAACCGAAACCCAACCGGGGCCGGGCCAAGCTAGGGCGAGAGAGCAAACGAGAGAGACGCACGAGAGGAGTGTGCTATGTAAGAATGTGCGCGGTGGAGGGAATGGAGACAAACTCGCGTAGGATATTCTTAGCCATTTCAACATTGTTCTGTGCAATCAACAGCGCTTTCTGGATGTCCTGGTAAGAGTATCCCTCACTCAAGAGGTGCTCGATTTCACAACTGATTTGGGGGTTGGCTTCTTCTTCTCCTCCTGCTGCTGCTCCACCACTGGGCGGAGCAGGGACGGGCGGGACGGGGCTGGCTCTGCGCTCCGAGTTGATTCGTCTGGGCAGAGGCTTCGGAGGTCTCTCTGGGGCTTCCACCGGCTCGGAGAAGGCTGAAGAAAAGAAGAGCGTGAATGTCAGCGCCTTTAAGAGCTGAAAGGTCTGGACTACTCTAGTTCAATAGGTCAATGTGAATGAAGATTCACTTTACTGGAAGTCATTTACATCTCATTTCAAAAACAACATCCTGATCACTTAAAAAAAGCACCTGTGGCAAACAGCACACTTCTTATTTGCCTTTAATGAGCTGTGTGTTTTTATAATACTGTATGTATGGTGAACTGGCTGATCGTTCCACTGCAGCAACCTTTAAGAAAGCACTCATAGAGAGTCCAATTTTGATCTGGGAGCTTGTCAGCATGTCTGAGAGCCATTTAATTGGTCCTCAGATATAAAGATTCAGGTCTCTAGTGGAACACTCAGACAGCCGGCACTCATCATACTCTGTAGGCAGTAAATGTCAGCTCGCTGCAGACACGAGGAGATTACTGAGAGAAATAAATGATTTTCTTCCTTCTTCTACAGATTGCGATGAAGTCACTAAATGCTGCGTTAGTTGCAGTGAAACCTCCACACAACCTGGCGGTCTGTGACATCTCGGGGTCAATCTCAGTGAGATTCTGATGATACAGACGGTGAGTTCACCGTAGGTATGTCTAACATCCTGGAGGCATCACTAACTGTTTGAAGATCAGTGATCACTGAGCACTCTCTGAGCATACTATTGGTCTTTACCCGTTGCACGCTACAATGAATTTCTCCATTATGTACATTTCTAATCAATCAAAATCGAACGTCAACTTCAGAGAGCTTCTGGAAAATCGGTATCATGTCTGGCCTCATTCCAGGGATGCAGAAAAACGCTTTGCTCGACATTTCAGACTACTCCCGGTCAGAGGACTTTAGAACTGCTTCTAGATATTGATTAATCAGCAATTTCTGCTTTTTGGCCAGGAAGGCGCTGAGCAAAGAGGCTGCCATTACACGTTTTTACATCCGAGTAATTTTATGATACAGACACACCATTATCCGTTACTGTATGCCATCACTAATGTAAAATGTGAACTTTAAAGTGTCATGTCTCTTAATAAAAGACCATATTTTAAAGGGTCAATTCACAGAAAGTATTTCCTACTTCCCCTAAAGGTAGATAGGTATTTATTGAATTGTTTCTGAAAGCCACAGCTGGTGCTTTAGCACCAGATCTCCGTTATCTAGCACATGCACAAGTTGGGGGAGAAAATGAACAAAGTCACCTGTAGCCTTGGATAAATTAGGCAATGCTACAGTAAAGAAAATCCTTCTTTCATAACATGGCTTGTTATAAATGACAGAAAGTATTTTTCGAAGTTGTATCGTGTATAAAAACAAGCTTAGCCTCAACAAGGACAAGTATACGTACGCGCTGCAGCTCCAGCATCCGAATCTAGAGAAAGGTGGCTGAAAGCAGCTGTGGAGGATGAGCTTGACGAGGATGATAAAGAGGAGGAAGACGACCCCGCCAGTTCTGAAAGGGTCCGTCGAGTCGTAAGCATTGGCAGCCGGGGCTTTGGGAAGTCGTAGCAGTTCTCCTCCTCCTCCTTGTCCTCGGCTACATGTTCTCTTGGGCCATTGGTCATCGCCAGAGGGGGCAACTCTGAATAGTCTTGGATGGATTGAAAACAAAAGTGTTAGCACTGCAGCATCTGAGAGACAGAGAACTATATGAAGTTACATGAAGAGACAAATCTTTACAGGTTGGTAGACCGAAAGGATACTTAAGAGGTTTAAAATAGTAACTCATGTCCACCTGATCCAAAGATTGATGAATCAAAATACCTGAATCTCTGGCTTGTTGTGACCTGGCCTGGATGTTGTACATGGCTTCATACATTTGAGGTCCATCTAGTTCAGCCATTGTCAGCCTACAACAACAACAAACAATAATAATAAGAACACAACAACCACAGCAGATGCAGTATTACAGTCCCCAAAGTAATATAGATGTGCTGCTGGAGGTGGATTCATCGAGTGTTTTGAATACCGTGAGTTGAATGCAGTAGCTTGGTTCTGTATCTGGAGTGCTGCTAGAGGCTGAGGAGGTCTCGGGACCGGTGGGGTCTCCCCTACAGGTGCTGCCGTGATGGGGGGCAGGACGGGACGAGAGGAGGGGATCATGTACTCTGACTCCTCCTCGCTGTTACGTGCCTCCTCTCCTGTCACTGACCTCTGGGCTGGAGAAGGTCTGGAAACAAAAAAAAAAAAGAAAAAAAAAAGAACATTCAAACTAGAACTGTAAATATGGATTCATGAAATATAAACGCTAAATGTTTTCAGTGGAAACAAGCTTCCTGAAGTATGTATCATATGGCCTTTGAAATGATTTTTGCTCACTTGCTGATCACAGTCATTCAAAGACTCCTTTAAAGTCATCATAGCGCCGGCACAACATACCTGATCGCCAGTGAATAGATGGCGTTGGCTGAGGATGAGGGCTTGACTTTGGCGTTGTCATAATCTTGACCGGATACTGCCGCAAAATTCTGTCAGGGAAGCAGAAGCGAAAATCTTAGAAACTTTAAAGTGAAGAATACTTTCATAATCAAAATCTTGAAATCAAATACGGATCACATCAAAAGGGAATAGCTTGGCATTAAAAGAAATACATGTAGTAATATGTACTGGATGTATTTCAGTGCTCAAACTTGGACGGTTACTACTAAAACGTTGTGCGTTTGTAATTGTAGACGATGAATACACATCAAACCAAATGTTTTGTGGTTTCACTGACCAGCTGGTGATCCAGACTGAGGGAGCTGTTGTTCTTGTGCGAGTCGGACCGCGTGTCCAGAGCAGAAGGCAGCGCCAAGGGGAGGGAGTGTCGGTTGGAGAGTTCCCTGACACCTGCTCGAATGTCCACTCCCAGACCGGAGACTTGGGTGGATGAGGATGCCGAGGAGGACGACGAGGAAGAAGAAGAGGTGGGCGCCTTGGGAACGGGACGGGAGTTCCACTCAGCCGGGGGCCGGTTTGGGGGTGCAGGAGGCAGCTTCTCTCGAGTGGGCTCCCCGGGAGTGCAGGGTAAGGGCCGCCTCTGCAGCCGTCCGTCGGGGGCTGCCCCGGCTGTGTGGGGGCGGTCTGGAGGAGGAGGGGGTAGATCCCGCAGCGCTGGGGGGAGGGGAAGAGGCTTGTCTTTGTGGTGAGATGCTGCCTGGAGGGGAGAAACAGAGATGGAGGGAGCTCATTTAGACTACATTCAATATTGATGCGAAAAAGAAAACTCGATGCTGCTCTCTTCTACGCTGGAAATAATCCATTCAGCAACAAGACCACTGTGAATGTATTTATCATCATTATCGACCACATACATAACTTAGATGAACAAAACACCAAGGAAAATAATGAAAAAAAAACAATTCCAGCTTTCCATTGATCTACATTTAAGCAGAAATATTAATATGAATATGTGAGGGGAAATGCCTCCTAAAATTACTTATATGCTGAATATAAATCACGCTGATTATTGTGGCTGTCACTTTCACACCTTACTTCTGTCAAAGGGGTAATATAAGTAAGCATCATTTTAATAACAGAGCTGGGTTACTGGTAGTATTCTCAAATGTAACTCTGGATTTGCTCTCTGCTGTCACTCTTTGGATTCATCAAAGAAGTCCCAACTGCGAAGCAGCTGCAAAGCAGAATGTTTGAGTAGTTTGCCAGAAGTTACTAAAAAATAACATTTATTTTGTGACAGCACTACTTCCTGTTGACCTGTAGGCTATGACACACCCCTTCAGACAGAAGCTGGACAATTAAAACACATGATGAAGATGCTGTGTGACTGTGAAATATGTAAATGCTTTAACACGATCATTTTAATATATCCCCTCTTGCCCTAACAATATGTTGTTGGTTGTGTTTGTTCGGTTACCTTACTGGTGACCCCGGGGCTGGAGGCTCCAGGGGGGTTTGGAGGTCTGTGTGATAGCAGGTCTAGTCTGGGCGGCACAGGGGGAAGAGAGGACTGAGGAGCCATGGACATAGGTGATGGGGGGCGCTCCACCTGGATCAACAGGAACGAATATGAAAACACATGAATCAGGACTGGTCTAATGGCACCTTTTCATGATACAAGTGATCCACAAACACTGTCAAGCTAACGTTCTTTAGATTGTAAGTAGAAAAGATGAAGAGGAATACTCTGCACAACAGTTCCCATCTGAGTTTTCCTCAAATGCTCACGTCTAAAGTCTCAAATCATTATCAAGAGCTGCAGGAAAAGGCTGAAATTGTTATGGAGGAAAATCCCCTAAAAAGACAATAACTATTCTTATGGTATTAATTCTTATGGTATGTGCTCTTTTGTACAATGATTATTTTGCTAGATAAGTTAATAAATTAGCACATTTAAAAAAAAGAAAAGACAAATATAAACAAATCCAAGACTCGGTTTGTTTCAACACGAAACAAACAAATTATTTATGAAGTAGAACAGAGTACTTCGTAGTGTACTTCGAAAGAAATGGTCAAAGATGAGAAAGAGGCCGGGTTAGCAATGAAAGCCCCAAAGAAATTCCAGGGACCACATGAAAGTGTGTGTGATCTCAGCTATTCACCTACTCTATAAGCAGACTAATGCTCTCACAGTTTCTCAGAGGCACATAAAAGATGGATAGGAGACGGCCCCATATATCAAATACCGAGGCACAGAAAAAGAGCTGCTACCTTGGCACCATGAAAGATGGAGATGAAAGACGAGATATGAGCCGTGAGTTTGAAGCTCACAAAAAAAAGAAGAAAAGGGCAAGGCAGGGAGTGTTTCATCAGTACAGAGATGAGTCTCTCAGGCAAACAGAGAGAAGAGGAGAGAACAGTAGGAACCATGAGTTGACCACAGGGCCTCAATGTTTTATCAATGAAGAAAAACAGCTTGCTAGGTGTAACTGGAAACTTTATAGACAAACTGAAATAAAATTAAGTCAAGGTCTTTCCACAATATTACCTTTGAGAAGGCAAGTTTGCTCATCATGAGGTGGGGGTCTTCAAGTCTGTCGTCATCATCATCGTCATAGCTGGGTGATGGAGCGCCCTCGGCCCCAAATAGGCCCCTGGACGACCCCCCGCTATTGTCTTTGGGGTCAAAAGGATCCACAACAATGGGCTCTGTACCCTTAATCTCACAGCGACAGAAGGGGCATCCCGTTCCCTGACCCTCCGACTCCTGTAACAGGCAGAGGTAATAGCACACTGAGATGAAAGGAGGTTACGTGCTTTTATGTGTGTTACATCCTCAGAGAACAACACTTCAGCAGTGAGTTCTCCTCTCAACAGGTGCGAGTTATGAGATGTAACTCGGAGCAATCAACCCACACAAACCTATTGCATGCACCCACACGCTTACCTGCCAGGCAGTGAGACAGGAGGTGCACATGAGATGACCACAGGGCTCGATCTTCACATCCTTGTCGTTCTCGGCACAGATCTTGCACAGCTGAAAAGTGGAGCCCATCTCACAGTACAGCTCATATTGCTCCTGAGGCAAGGAAGAAATGAGACAACTGTGAGTATCGGTGGCCAAACACGGTAACATCATACGGCACAAACACGATCTGAGATCATTTTTGAAAGAGCACAGAAGGCTCAGGAGCCAAGTTAAAATATGGGGGCGTATTTTTAGTTTCAGTTCTGTGCACAAGCAAAGTGAGTCTGTTCATAAACACCTTTGCAAAACCCTGAGAAGAAAAAGACAAAAACAACAAAAAAAAAAGAAACTGGTCTGGACAACATTTTACAATTCACAGTAATGTGTGTGGCGCATTTAACAAGATGTGTCCTCCAATGAGAGTATGAACTATTGCAAGACGGATGGTGCTTCCTGTGCTGCTCAACAATAGAGGAAGCTCGCGCTGACAAAAGACCAATTAGCTTTAAGTACAAAACTATCAAATTCTGAAAGGCACCATTTATTTTCACTAAGCTCATTCCATGTTCAACACAGTGTTTGACAGTTTACTCGGGGACCACAACACTGTTTAAGTTCAGTGAACTTTAAAAAAGATAACTTAACATTAAAGTCAAAATATCCATTTAAATATATATATATGTATTTAAATATACCTATATCATAATGCTCTGCGTGAAACATACAGTATATGCTTCTGCCACATTCACTGCATTAGCAGAGGCTGCATATTTCATACTTATTAAACAGATGTCAGAGAGAAAAAATGCTATTTGTTTAAATATTTTTGGTTAATCAGCCACTTTCACCTTTGACAAACTCAGTTCCCGTGTAGTGTTTTATCATATCTTCTACTTCTGCTTCCTTCTGGTAATGAACCAGCGGACTGTTGCATCATTTTACTTTTCTGAGCTGTGTGTGAACTAAGAAAAGGCCATTTGAGATTTACAATAAAATGCAGAAGAATAGCAAGAATATACATTAAAGACTGAGGATTCAGTCTGAGTTGCACGGCGCTCTGACCTGTGTGACTTTGATGTGGTCTTGAGGCGAAGGCTCACACAGTCCCGTCAGATCTGGATTTTGGGTCCGGCCATCGGGGAATAAATAGCTGGAGATGAAAAGGAAAGTTCTCGTCATAATTAGTGAGTATGATTATACTGAATGTATACCCAACAGGATGCACTGACGCAATAAAAAAACATCTGTTCAGTCCATTTGTTCAATCCGGCAACTTGTTTTAATATTATCACCAAGATGATGCATGTACAGTACGTGACCATTTTACAAATGGGTCAGATGGTGTAATTACTAACTTATAATTATGTTATAGATACAGGCGATCTACTGTACAGGCTTTCTTCGTTTTAAATCAGGATATGATTACAGGTTGTGGCCGGCCAACTGTAGCTTTCATTAAACCAACCAATCAACGCTGGCATAAAAAGACGAGTTTCATGCCAGCCAGCTAAACCACTCACTGAGCTGCACATTAGAAACCAACAGTTTTATTCTGGTTATGATAACACTGGAATGATGGGAACAGGCAATATGATATGGCTGGATTGGTTTAGAGCTGAAAGGCAGATTAAATCATGGGATGCAAAGCAGAGCTGCATAGTTTATACAGAGATGCAATGCTTTGTGGGGAGAGAAGAGGAAAGAAAATGGGAAATGGCAGAAAAAGAGAAGCCCTGCATATGACAGGAAGCTTGACTTCATTTATTAAAACGGTTTCAAATGAAGACCAATACCCAGCCACAGAGTTAGAGGTCTAGATGAAAATCAAGAAAATGACAGATACAAGCGTGCCAAACAAAATGCCAGTGGACTCACAATCCTTCCCTGAAGCCATCTATGAGGGCCTGGAAGAGCGGTTTGTTGTGGGGAATAGTTTGGAGTATGTTGCCATCTGCTGTCACGTAGCCGATGGCCCACTGGCCCAGCCGTGTACAGCTCAGTCGGAAGATGTAACTGAGGAGAGAGAGACATGAGAAGTAAGACATGCTGGAGTTGTATCACTCTGTGTTACACGGAAAAAAGTGATCAAATAGAGGAGTGTCTCCCAAATGGTGCACACAAAGGAACATGTTCTTCAAGTATGCATATACCTATTTATGAAATGAAGTCTATATGCAAATATGTAGGCTGAATTATGCATGGGAACATCCCTGTGGCAATATAACAACAACAAGCAGCCACATTTTATCTAATGTGCATAATCAACAAAAAAGCACTGAAAAACAGTTCAAATTAAACAGTTTCAAAGAAAATGTATCCGATTCAAACATAAAACACATAAAAGCATATTACATAAAAAGCATTTGACATAAGTGAATAATTGATAACCCATTCTTTAATGCATTTCTATTACATGAGAAAAGATAAATGGGAAAGATGTTTAAAAAGTAATTACAACATTGTCACAGTCATCAATGAACCTGAGAGAAGATACATGATAGGCAAAGACATCGTACACATTAAAACTCACCGCTGCTCTTTGACATAAAGGATAACTACATTACAAAGTATGCATGTGTGCATCTGCATGTCTCACCTGCCAGGCTTGTGGATGAACTTCTGTAGCCGTGCTTTGACCTCATCGTAGGTGAGGAAGGCCATGTACCCCGGGTGAGTAACTGCCAAGCTGTTCCAGTTCCGCAGCAGGGACGACCAAGGCTACACATAAAAAACAAACGAGTGACTCATCAAATGTGCGAGTGATTGCACACGGCAATCATAGTGTGAGCAGAGTAATAGAGAAATATATTGCATCAGGGATGACGCAGACGCCAATTTACTGAACTTCAGCGTGATTTGTAACGATTTCAACCTGGATTAAGCAGTGTAAAAATGTCCTTAAAGCAGAATTTGGCACGCAACTCATTCGATACCATCTGGAGCTACAGAAGGGAGGGGGGAGGAGGTGAAATGGACAAAAGCAGACTGCTTTCCATTCTGTATATGAAGCAGGGAAAAGTCAACTTTATGTTTCTTTCTTTAAAAACTACCTGACCCAAATCAAGTCAAGCCACCCAAACAACAAGGGGTGAACACTGCAGCAAAAAATATTAAATAATTAATACTTCATAGCTGACTGAGTACGATAGTAAGTAGGTGGTTCCGCAATTGCTCACCAGTCGGTGTTGAGTGTGAAAGGAAGTAGAATTAACACATACAGCACAAAAAAAAAAAAAGAGCTGCAGAAGAACGGGCACGGTTCAATCTGCACAACAACTCACATCTTTTTATTCGGCTATATCACAAAGAGGGGCTTTGCTGTTCTCACGTAGTGTCACCACATTTGCTCAAATTAAAATAATACTTCGGTTATTTATACTTTTTGCACGCAGTATGACAAGTTGAACTCATGTTAAACATATTGTATCGCATCTCTCTTGTACCCTTTTAGAGTAATGTGATCGGAGACTGGCGGGGTTAGTGAACTAAAGTATGCAGTGTGCTGTTTACTGACTTCATTTCATATTGTCAGTAGATATTGTCGCATCTAGTAATTGTACTTTTTTTGGGTACATTTTGCACCTGCTCTGTTTACACTTGACTTGGCTTACCAGTACACTACTGCATCAAGGACAGAGCTCAAAATGGCCACAGCCTCACTTCCTATTCTGCATTTGAGGACATTTAGAGGAGGGCTTCTACTGTGTGAGGAAGTGTCATAGGAAATGTCTGTAATCTGTTTAGGCTTCATTAAGCCTGTCGGTGTTCTGCACACAAGTAGGAGGGGATAATGTCACCGAGGACATAAACATAGTGTGGTAATTACAATGTTTATACAAAATGCTTGCACGACATACTATGGACAAGCTCTGGAGATGATGCCTGGTAAACCCCTCCCCTCCCTCTGTCATTTATTTTTCAAAGCCTTCCTGCTGCAGCATTCTATGCTACACATTACATAAGTATGGTCTATCAAATACAAAGTTGAGTCCGGGTATGGCAAAGTAAAACAACTCATTAACTATTAATTTACTGACTCTACTGCCCCAAAGTTAGTTAGATTTCCTTCCAGGGAATTTATTCCACAAATCTTCTTCCTTGTTGTTCATTATTCATCTAGCAGTAAGAAAGAACGATCTTATAATGATGACATGATAACGCAAATAAGGATGATTGTCCTTGTGAAGGATCTCAGTGTGACTCTCTATCTGAAGCCTTATGAAGCAACAACAGACACCCCATAAAGAGGACACAATGATTGCCAAACATCTGTACTGGGTGAGTATAGCAGAGGAAATTTTCAACTTCACTCCCGTCTGACAGTGTGAATAAAGCAGCAGGCATCCTGCTAAAAAGCTGACAGAGTTAGCTGAAAAAAGAAGTGGCAGATTTGTTTAAGTTCATTATGTGCTGCTCAAATTAAATTTGTTTCACCTAGAGAGAGAGTGTGTGCGAGTGTGTGCGTTTGTTAATACCTGGAATAGCCTGGTGAAGATGTCAAACTCAAAGACAGAGATGTAATCATTGCAGGTGAGGTCTATGGTGGACTTGAGGGCCATGGCCTCCAGTCCTGAGCTGATGGAATGAAACTCATGGAGCGACTGACGGAACATCTTCCAAGGCACAATCGTCCTGTAACACACAAAACAAAAACGCATGACGACATACCCTTGCAAAAACTGAAATCGAACATCAAAACATAAATAACTGAATGTAGACGACCTGCGTGCTGCCTTGCGGCATACCCTACGTGCAGTAAAGGCGCAGTGATTATAATAAGATTAAAGTGAAAACAGGAAATGCTATTTTGTGTAAGCGCTATTTTAGCATTTCCAAAAAGAGCTTTGAGGGTCGTTGGTCATGAATGCTATGCTAACCTGATGCAATCTTTAAAACAGACAGCTACCAGGTATACGAACCGATGGTAAATGGACTTGCATTTGTAAAGCACCTTTGTAGTCTTCCGACCACTCAAAGCACTGTACACAACATGTCATCATTCACCCACCCACAGACATTCATACACTGACGGCAGACGCTACCATGCAAGTTGCCGCCTTCATAGTTTCGGTGCCGTGCCCAAGCAACACTTTGGTATGCGGACTGGAGGAGCCGGGGATCGAGCCACAGCTGCACCGCAGATTAATTTCAATGCAATTAGGCCAACATTTGCAAAATACAGTACTAATCTTTCGCAAATTCTCCCATGTTTTGACAAATTTACCCCTGGGGATGAATAAAGTACATATCTATCTATGTTGTTGGTCAGTTCCTGATGAAAATGTAAGATATATAAGCCACACAACTATCTCATGAATGGGGAAATGAATGTAGTATTGGGGAAAACCCAGCTATTAAAATGTTCTTTTAGTTCCAAGTGGCTGAGTTATTTTTGTATGACAACACTCACAGAAAAAATCTGTGTGTACTTGGGAATTAACTCAAATGTGTGTGATTGTAGAGACCATGGGTTCCCCTGTGTAAAATGTCGAGCACCCCCCAAAAAATACACGTCAACAGAGCTCTGTATTCAGTAACCCAACTTGTGTTGCAGAGAAGATATTCATCATCTCTGACTACTGTGAAAGAAGAGCAAGGAGACTAAAACTATTGCTCTCAGATGTCACTTATTTGTATTCTCTTCGCGTCATTTAACTCTTTTTCTTGGGAACAACCTGTAAGGAACCCCACGAAGGTTCCAGAATGCAAGTTTGGAAACACTGTGGTGATATAATATTCATTGTGTAAAAAGTAATATAGAATTGGGCTCACTTGTCCCCGAAGGCGCGCCTCCAGAACTCTGCAGCGTCTGCCTTGGTGATGCGGAAGTTGTCCCCCTGAAACAGACCGTTGGGGAAGGTGGCCTTCAGCTCAGCCAGCATGTGGCTGAAGATCAACGACAGCTTGGTGAGGTTCCGCCTGTGGAAATCAAAAGTAGAGTGTGAGGTTTCACGTTTTTATCATTGCATTGAGATTACAGCATCATCAGCCAATACAACAGCTTTAAGAGAGAAATGCATAGCAACATTAGTATTTTAATCAGATGTCCAGGTAGGGTCTCCCAAGACAAAGTCGTCCCAGGGGAGGTGCCAGACCATGATTATCTGTGGTAGTCATGGATTGACCAGAACAAACATTATGTTCAAGCATAGGGCAGTTCATGGCTGTACATGGTACCAGAACACCCTGGGCCAAGATCAATGATCGACTCTGGTCTGAGGCTGTCGGACAGACCTGGTAAACTCAAACGTGTAGTGAGGGTAAACTGGTCTTAAACTACCAACTCCGTAAAAAAAAAAAAAAAAAAAAAAAGTGAATCTGGGGGAGGCTGGGGACATGAAGAGTAGTTTAAAATGTGTACTTTGCACCAAACTGATGATGAATTATTAATGTTGGCATTAGAGGCAGAGGCCATTAAGCTTGCAAATAAAGGGGAAAATGACAACATAATGAGTTCTGCCAACATTGGTAAGTTTACATGAACCGACTTTTTCTCATGCAAATGAAATACTGACAAAATAACAATATATAAATAGTAACCTGTTTTGCATTCCTGATGGCGGAAAAAAAACCAAAAAAAAACAGCAATGCAAAAATGTACTTCCTGAAACTTTTGCATGCACAGTATTACTTATTATACATGTTTATAAACAGGTGACAGTGACATCCCTTGGCTTCCAAATTAATTTGCCAAAAGAGACATTATCCCCTCGTATTGGTGGTGTTTGATGAAGATGAATGAAGATAAATTCCACAGAAGGAACACATCAGCAAGTCGAGAAGTGCAATCCTTACATCTCCGTTTGTAATATCCCTCTCATTCGTTTTAACTTGTTTCTTAATTTCCTTCAGTAGGGAATTAGTCTTGAAACTAATCTAACTGTCAGGGTTGATGACAGTTCTCTGAGATATATCGCTTCATTCATGCTCCATTGGTAGCTTTGGGAAGACGTTCAACGATGTCTGTATGTAGAACTGCGTTGCAATCACCAATACCAACTATCACCAACTATCACCAATAAAAAAAAAAAATAAATAAATAAATAATAAATTGAGGTTTCCTGATATGTCATATATAATTCTTTACCTTAAGAGGATAAAACAAATATAGTTTTAAAAATTGCATGTGGATCTGCTGCCACTGTGGTAAATCGATGGGTGTGGTGGTTGTAGAAGTGGATGGGTTCCATACTTGTTATACTAGTTCCAAGAAAAGAGAAACGCATGACAAGCTTGACATGGCACTAAATTTCTTTTTATTTGTTTTTCCACAAGGCAAACTCAGTGACTCTTCAATTTGGTTCTGACACACAACAGGCCACGTGAATGCTTAACCTTACTTCTTACAAATGTTTTTATTCAAATGAAAACATTAGACTTCCATTAGAAGGAGGTTTCTAAATACGCAATAAGATGGATGGTATTAAAAAATAAATACATTTTATTTAAGGCCAGCTTTCTGCTCACATAAGTAAGAGAAGAGGGTACAAAAACAAAGAAGACTAGGGAGACGAGACAACAAAGCTGCACAATGTCACCATAGCCCTGCACCCCATCATAGCATTAGAAGCGTTATGCTGAGAAGGACATGATTTATGAGGCAGCACAGAGGGAAGACTGTGCTTGGCTGTCAGGCAGGGTGAATTGACATGCACAAGAGAGAGGGCAATGAAAGCGTGGCTACGCTGCAGCTGCCCTACACAGCACTGTGCTTCCTATGAGTGGAGTGAGGGGGGGAGTGGAAAAAGTGAACGAGGAAGGACGACAGTGACTGAAGATGGATGAATAGGATTAGTGTAGGTTGAGAACGTGCCAAAATAGACCAATGCTTGTTAGGGGTAATAATTTACCTCAGAGGGAGCAGACAGGAATCTGAAAGAGAAAATGCAACGCTTGCAAACTGCAATAAAAGCATTGCAGTTATACCCTCTCAGCAGTAAACGATCATTAAACAGTGAACACTCTTGTAGCTGGCTATCTAATCTTTTGAACTGCTCTACACACTTGAAATCTGTAGCAAAAGACTTTAAGCCAGATGCGAGGACTGTATGTCTTTGAAGTCAGGGCGACCCTCATCAGCGATGCCATGTGGAAAATGAGACTTTCAACTCTGCGTGGCGCTCGGCAGATTATATGATCAATTAATTGTCTAAAGAACATGATGAATATTTTATAAACAGAGTGTCTCTGAAGCTAATATGACACCTTTAAATGTCTTGTTGTGTCGGACCATTAGTCCAAAGCCCAAATAAATTCAGTTTACAATTATGTAAAAAAAAAAAGAAGCAACAATTAAACACAATGGAAAAGTAGGAAACAGTGAATGATTGCTGAAAATGTGTGACGCGACAGGACATTATATGTTCACATAGGACACCATCACTCATAATGAGATGTTGATTGAGAAAATAAGTTCTCTTTTAACGCAAAAAGTAAAAAACAAATCAAAAACAGTGATTAACTTGTGGAGTTTGTCACACGCACGAGGAGCTGTTAAGCTACCACACCTATAAAAGCACAGGATGCTTCATGTGAAATGGCAAACATGTGATATGTGCACTTCAAAGCACGTTAAAACAATGTCCAGGAGTCACAAGCCTCAAGTCAATATGGTTTGGGAAACGCTTCCAAACAATCCGATATCCACCAGTTTATCTACACGCAACATATACATACACACAGTGAGTCCACATAGACTTAGTCCCTTGAGTCTCACATATGATATATGGATGTTTGCCGTTATAAGAGAGAATGAATTTGAAAGTGAACACTGGTCTGACTGGCATTAGGGTCACAGGGTGGCACAGCTGTCTCTAGCACAAGATTTACACAGTGAATGAGGGACCTTGTGTGTTTTTTTTTTTTGTCTGCATGATAGAAAGAGCTTTACAGAAGGCTCGCTGAATATTAATTTGAAATTCTAAGTAAGATACAGGTTGGAATCTAATCTCCTAAGTAGCAGGACAAGCTGATATCTGTTTTAGCATCTCTCCCAGTCTGTGTCCCTCTCCATCCTACAATACCAGCTCTGTACTGTGTGTGTGTGTGTGTGTGTGTGTGTGTGTGTGTGTGTGTGTACTGGGCAGTAGCCAGCACTCCTACAACTGTTGCTGCTCTTTAAGCCTCTGTGGCATAGGCAAGGACAAAGCAGAGTCAGTGGGCTACAGCCATACAGAGAACGGTTTGCTGACCTACTCTGGATTCAGATCGTTGCACGTCTACAATGTTTTCTTTTTCAGTCCCTCACTCATTCTTAACCAACAGGCCAAACCCTTTTTTTTTTCCTGAACACTTTTTTTTTTTTGTTTGTCCACCATCCCCCTCATGCTATAGATTGACCTCTGACCTTGCAGCTGGCTACTCCCTTCCTGTTTCCTGCTGGCTCTGATAAAGTAGCGCAGCTAGCCAGCCAGCCCCGCACTGCGCTAATACACCGCAGCCCAGCGAGCGAGGGTCAACCTTACAGAATGAGAGCCTGTCTGGATTGGCAGAGTCACAAGTAGCTGTCATATCATCATGCAGCTGTATTATCTTTTCTGCTCAAGGCTGAAAGGGAAATGTAGATCAAACACCAACTGAGCCCTGTACCAAAGCTCCCGAGAGTTATTTTCAACAATCTATAAGACGAACTAAGCTAAATCAGGATTAAGTACCTTGACAACCAAGACAACCACAGTTACAGACCAGCAAAATACAGAACCATGGATAACTGTAGCCCTTGACATCCATTTGAAAGCAATCTAAGTCACTCAATTAATTAGCACCAATAAATTGCATAACAGGTCTGCACAACTCTTGTCAGTCAACTCTTGATGTCTTCAGTGGATCAGTGTTCAATATTACAGATAGCAATGGTAAGATCAAGAGGTGCATGTGGAAAGGCATACAGTGCAGGTAACATGATGCGACTTCCAACACGTCAACACAGCTTTTACTGTGCTAGTCCGGTCATATGTAAAGCATTCACGCTGTGGCAGCCATCACAGGCGCTGATCACTGATCACATAGAAGGCTACAGCACAGTTATTTCAACTGAATGGAAATATACCAGTATTTAACCACAAAGCAAATTCATTCCCAATCCTCTCGCTCAGTTCAACGTAAAAACAACAAAAACAACAACTTTAAAATAGACCTAAACAACCCTACTCAGCGATGTTCAAACCCATCCTCCTGACTCATAAGATCGTGCCCTTTTCAGTGTCTGTCAGATCACATTTGGGCACACGCTTGATGATCTGTTAGGAAGCATGCAAAATTGAAGCTGCAGTTGCCTGCATCAGTTTACACCGTGACACACGTGCAAAGGGAGCACCCGCTTCGTAGGGCCGAGGTTAATACTATTTTGGACAATTAATATAATAATGTGGTAAATACCAACACAAAAAATACACAGAAATTAAAAATAAATGCAATTGCTGTACTAGAAAACAGTGAATTATGTGTTTGAAATTCTGGTTTACCATTTTGCTCTAGTTATCACTTTATACATTTAACTCTCAGATCTCCATCATGCTGTCAGGAAAAAAAGTTTTTGAAGTTTATCACCTACCCTGCCTTTAATCTAATCTCTCTTTCAAAGCTCTTACCTCTCTAGTCGATTAGATCAGCTCAGATTATTGTGAAAAGAAGAAATAAAGATTGTAAAACAACAGAAAGCAGCACTTTTTTAAGATTAATCCTCTCTCCACAGTTGACTAGTAATATCTTAGTGCATATCTGTGCTCATTTATCTCTGTATGCATAAACAGCAAGTGTTTGTTGTACCCCGAGGGACAAAGAAGCTAGCGGGTTGCATCATGCTAATCACCATAATCTAATAGTGTGAGGACTACATGAGTCGGCTGCTCACTGATACCATGGTGACATAAATAACCATGATGCTCTGCTATGTGTGTGTGAGTGCGTATATCTATCTG